CTTAAACTCCACAGTGGAAGGATTGGGGGGCAGTGCTGAGAAGGAACTCAGAAGCCAACAGGCATGGAAAGAGGCCAGTGGGACTGTCATTGCTCAAAGGCCACACACTCTGGGTGTGTTTTATGACTGTTTCTGGATTTGAAATCTTCTCCCCTTTGTGATCATTCCAGGGACTCGCCCTCTTTATATGTTTCTGGATTTGGAATCTTGAGCAATATTCATGACGCACAACATTCTGTGAAAAATACCTTTACCCTACAGCAGGAACAGCCAGAGTGGGTGTGGCTTCTGTCACAAATATTGTCTCCTAGTAGTCTAGGAATTTGTCCTAGGATCAAATGGTTTTGCTGAAAGTCAAGTCTAGAAATGGGCTTTAGGGGTGCCTTGTGACTAGCATTTATGTTGCCAATGGAAAGCATTCATCTTTTTAAAGGAAAGCATTCATCTTAATGAAGAAATCCCCTCTTATGGTCTGGGTCAGGGTTTTTTGCCTCTGTACTATCCTTATTTATAAATTGTAAAGAGAAAGACCGAAGAAGAGTGACATAAGGAAGTGTATGTATGAATTAACAGGGCAGAAGTGCGACTAGTATGTGTAAATTAAGGGAAAGCATGTATATATTTTATGTGAACATAAAAAGGACTTCTTGTTGGCCCAGTGCGGTGGCTCTCGCCTGTAATCCCAGGGCTTTGGAAGGCCGAGGCGGGCAGATCACGAGCTCAGGAGATCGAGATTATCCTGGCTAACATCGTGAAACCCCGTCTCTACTAAAAATTAGCCAGGCATGGTGTCGGGCGCTTGTAGTCCCAGCTACTCCGGAGGCTGAGCCAGGAGAATGGCGTGAACCCGGGAGGCGGAGCTTGCAGTGAGTGGAGATCTCGCTACTGCACTCCAGCCTGTATGACAGAGCGAGACCCTGTCTCAAAAAAAAAAAAAAAAAAAAAAAAGAACTTCTTGTTTTAAACAGACCTCTGCATAAAAATAAAAATAATATCCACTGCCTTGAGTGGATAGCAGACTGCATGACCAGAACATTCCAGCAGAGTCGTGAGAGAAGGGATTGTGTGGCTTCTTTGCTAAATAGAAGGTTAGATTGAGTAAGTCACTGAAGAGAAAGGAGGTGAAGGAGAAGATGGGTGATTGTGAGAGAATGCGGGATGCCAAAAGGAAAAGACTGAAAGAAAAGTTTACTAAGGGCTCATCAGGTACTAGGCTGTGTGTCTAATGCCTTCCATATATTAATGTATCAATTCACTGTCATTTTCTGATGCAGTAAGAGTGACCCTTGTGCTGCAGATGAGAAGAGGCTGAAGGGGGTGAAGTGAAGTCCAGGGTCATCCAGCCAGTTCATAGCAGAGCTGGTGTGTTTCACCTCGAAATGTGTGCTCTTTGTGATTCAGACAGAAAAGTGAGACACAGAAGAAAGGCAAAGCAATTTTTTGTTGTGGGTAGAGTTTACAAAAGGTACCTGTGTTGGGCAGAATAATGGCCTCCTGAAAATATCCGCATCCTAATCCCTGGAACCTGTGCATGCTACTTTATTTGGCAAAAAAAAAAAAAAAAAAAAAAAAGACTTTGCAGGTGAGATGAAGTTAAGGGTCTTGAGATGGGAGGTTATTCTGGATAATCTGGGTGGGCTCAGTGTAGTCAGAAGGGTCCTTGTAAGTGAAAGAGGGAGGCGGAAGGGTCAGGGTGAGAATGATGCAGCCAGAGAGATCCCACTGGCTGTCCCTGGCTGTGAACATGCATCAAAAGACAAAATTACAACAAAATCAATTACAGATCCAATTGGCTTTTATTTGTGATTCATGAGTCAGGGCAGTTTCCATTATGCAAAATATAGTGATAGCTTCCACTGGGCAATACAATAGTAGAACAGTGGGTTTTGTAAAATGGGAATCCAGGAACAGAAGAATATAAATAAACTCATTTAAATAAACTGATTGGTTAATTTCAAAATACTTCGTATTACTTTTTTCTAAGAGTTAAAGCAGAAAGGACTTTCTTACTGTGCTGACATAGCCTGGACTCTCCTGTTTTTAGGAAAAATTTATCTGTTCTGAGATCTACCTGCTTCCTCAATGTTTCAGTGTGAGTATGTGGCCTTTAGAATGACAGGCTCTGTTCTGGAGTCACTAGGCTCTCACCTAGATGAGAGTTTGACTAAATAAGGCATTAACACTACTGTCAGTTACCATCATTTTGGACTTCCATCATTCATAGGTTATGATGTCCTCCTAATCACACATTTATTTGAGTTTTTGTCATTCCAGTCAAAGAGAGAATATTTGACATTTGACTAATGACTGCCTACAAACATGTAAAGGTTTTAGAGAATACAGCACACCAGGGTAACTAATATTGTGACAATCAGGAGGATAACACCAAGAGTTTGGAGTATGATCCATAGGTAGAGACCCCATGAGCCAAACCAAATAAAATAGAATAGATTAAAGAATGAGCCACATGAGGAGCCTACCCATTTTAACCAAGCAGCATGTTTGTTAATTTTTGCAACTGAGTATCTATAGTACCCGCTGTATTTATCCATGTGCAACAAGAAGTGTCAGCAACTGCACAAACTCCTCACTATTCAGCTAATAGGGAGCAATTCTATTATCTAGCATCCCATGACTGGGTTACATTAAAATAGTGAGTGAGAACAGGTGAGTCTAGAGGTCTAACTCTAAAAGAGACCACTGTACATTTGAACAAACAGTTGTATTAGGGATGTTGTTAAAGTTAGCCACTGGGTGGAATAAAGGATCCGTTAGGTCATGTAAAGATTTGGGTTTGACATGACATGACAGATCCAACACTCTGTCAAATTACCTACACAAGGCACTGATGGTGAAATTGTAGTTACAGCATTATCTTGCCAAATTAAAGAGGCAGGCATAAGCAGGGAAAAATTGAGTGGGATAAGAGCCTCATCACGATGGGAAGTCTTGTTCCGACATCTTGGGAAAAACTGTCCACAGCATGAAGTCATCAACTTCTCGTCCTGGTTGGCAATTTGAGTGTCTCTAGTTATGGTGTTGAACATTTTGGTGAGCTCTGAGTGGCTCACATCTCAGGCATGAGGGTTTTCCCTTGAAATTTACATTGAGTTGTCCACCTCTAGCTTATAGGTCTTCAGGATGAGAGCAGGTCTTATAATTAGTGGTTCCACAGGAGAAAACGACATTGAAGGAACAGGCAGTCCGGTCTACAAGTAGATAATAAAAACTTGAAAAAAAAATACAGGGCTACAATTCAATAACAGTTGTATTACAGTTTTTCTTCTGAACATAACTTTTCTCCATCTCTCCCTGTTTCTAAGTTAATCAGAGTAAGACTAACCTGTTTACAAAATAGGTAGAGTCTCATCAAACATGGTCTGATTCTTTATATAGGAAGTACAGCAAGAATAGCGACTGACTACATAGGATCGTTTTAAGGTTGCTTTGCTGGAAGGTTTGATAAGGAATCTCAGATCAAACTTTTAAAAACCTCTCAGCACTAGGCAGCCAAACCAAGGCTGACTTCAGACTTTGCCTGCAGCATCTCAGTACCTATGGGTTCATTCTACGTATATTTCCAAATATGGCATCCCAGCCAAAGTCTTGGTAATATAACCAGTATTTTTTAAATGTATCCTGTTATAAACAGAGCAGATTCTTATCGAACTTATGAAAACAACTATTCTCATAACAATGTGAACAGCCATGAACGGTTGCCTGATTCTGGATGGAAAATGTAGGGAGAAAAATTAATGTTTCAATTTTTGTTCACAAGTTGTATTTTACCAAATTTCTGTAAGCTACATAGATAGCTTAAAAGAAAAATGTTTCTTCAAATCCGGAAAATAAAACATTTAAAGAATCATCAAAACTTCAACTAAAAATTCATAAAAACATTATCCTCATTAGTTCATTTAGTCCCATGAAATTAATTTTTTGTTCTGCTTGACCTTGGTTGGCAGTTTCATGAAGATGTCTCTTCATTAAAGTTTTGGGAATTCTTAGCCCAACGGTATGATTCTAAAGTTATCAGAAACCCGTATTCAAGACAACTTGTCAGAGTCTTATCCATACATATCCTTGGAAAAGAAGCAGTTTTGGACTGTAACCATTTCCAAATGCTTTTAGAGAAGAGTCAAAACAACTGTCTGTGAATGACAAAGACTTAAGATGACAATGGTTAAAAATCTGATGGGACTTCAGATTTGATAGATTTGATGATAACGACACCACTCACAAGCAAATTTGGTTAGTTCTGTGGCATGTAATACTATGACTGATAACATATTAGATTTCTAGAAATCTCATGTAATTTTTGAAACATTCACATCAATAACATACCCACAAATATAACTTAGAGAAGGTGGCATCACGTCATTTGACAGTGTTTTCCATATAATTTAACAAATCAAATAAGGTGAATTTCCATTTCGCTTCTGTTTCTCGACTGGATTACTGAGTTCAGGGCATCGCCCATTAGCAGACATGACCAACAATGTATAAGCTTATGTATGTTGAAAAAGTTCCAGAGGTAATTTTGATACATAACCCTAGCTACAAACCATTGATTTAAGCCCAAGTTCTCCCTATAAAAGCAGGGTTTCTGCATCCTGTCTGCACATTAGTAGCATGTGGGAAAGCTTAAATAACAATGCCTTGGTCCCACTGTAGACCATTAAATCAAAATGTATGAGTGGAGCCTGGGAATCAGTTGTTCTTTCCTAGTGATTTCAGTGTGTAGCCATATTTCCCATTAGATTTCTCTTTCTTCTCATGGAATTTATCTTTTTCTATTTTGGTATTACAGTTCTTTTTCATATCTTATTTTCTGGAGACAGGGTCTTGCTCTGTTGCCCAGGTTGGAGTGCAGAGGCACAATCACAGCTCACTGTAGCCTTGAACTCCTGGGCTCAGAGGATCCTCCCACCTCAGCTTCCCAAAGCATTGGAATGACGGTTGTGAGCCAATGCACCTGGCCATTTGTCTTATCTTCTGTCTTAGGCTTTATATTCCCAGGAGTAAGGACCTTGTCTTCTTCAATTCTGCATCTTTCATGAACGCATGAATTGGTTATCAGGAAAAGATTCTCAGCCACACTTAGGTTGTTTCCTCTCAGGTTCACATATTCATGCTACAATCTTTGTCCTCCACAAGGTCAGAGGTTGCTTGTGACGAAGGGTGTGGGTAACTCCACAGTGCAGGTGGTGGAGGAAGGTTACCTCATTTTTAGGCATAACATTGGAACTAAGAATTCTATGTGTATATGGGGCAGAGGGGCAGGGATGTATAGGAAGACAGATCTAATTAGGATGGAGAAATTATACTCAGGAGTAGTGGCAAAGGAAGTAAAAAGGATTCGTGAAGAGAAGAAAAGTGAATTTATCTAATAGGCCCCTGCAGGTTCTTGAGTAGGTGATTTTAGGAAGGTAATGAAGCAGTCATATGCTAGGAAGCATTCAAAGACTGGAGACAAGAAGTCAAGCAGGACTTCAAGAAGTTGTTGAGGTTTATGGTAATGGAGAGAACAGCACAAGTGAAAGATGTTTTAAAGAGGACCAAGAAGCTTTCACAGTGTATTGAACTGGGGAAACAAATGAGCAGAGGCTGGAAGTAGTCTTGTCCAAGATACAGTGGAGTACAGGAAGCATGAAGACCAGGGAAAAAGAGACCTGCAGGAATGAGTGCTGAGAAGCAGGAGTGTAATGGGAGGAGGAGGAGATCTAGTCCCAGATACAGGTGAAGAAGTCCTTTCCCTCTCCCAAGCATGGCAGTCAGTCCTGCAGGAAATAGGATAAGAAGAGAGGTCATAATATCTGCCACTCTTCCTGAAATGCAGAAACTACACCAAGTCTGCTATATCAGAGCCATCCCAGCCAGTACTCCAATCATGATGCTGACAGCGGTCCCAGCTGAGAGGTCAGGAGAACTTCCTGTTACTGATTCATCTGTCATGGAAAGAAAAGAGAAGGAATGAAGGTGATCTTATTTTACAGTGGGGTACCCCAGGAACCAACTCTCCGCATGAAGTCGTTTCTATTTGTTCCTTCAAGGAATAACATTATTTCTGTGGGAAGGTTGCTGGGAGATGATTTGCCCACTAAATTCTTGCAGGTTTTTCATCTCACCAGGTTTCCAGGTTGATGACCAGTCTTCTGTCTATTCTATCCTGACCTTTTTACACTCAGATATTTTTGAAGGCTTTGAAATTTGAGAAAGACTGATTGCTAATCTTGTATGTCATTAAAACTTCCCACTTTTTCATGGTTGCATTTTTTTTCTTCGTGTCTCAGTTGTGGCAGTTAGTGCATTCTGAATTCACCACCTCCTTTGCACAGAGACCTCGCTTCCCACAGGCTCCCAGCAGGTGTGTGAAAGCAAGTCAAGTTCTGTAAGACTCTGTTTTGCTCTGAAAGGCGATGGGCTTCAGGAATTCCCAACAGTCTTGCACAAACTCTCTTAGAACTGCACTGCAATCTAAAACTTTCTTTTTTTTCTCTTTCTCCTCCACAGGCATCACATCTGCATCATGATCTGAGGACTCTCCCAGGTTCCTCCCCCTCCCAACCCACTTTCCCTCACAGGTGTTTTTCTCTCAAAATTATATTGTGTGTCTAATCCTATCTTGGCTGCATCTCACTGAATGAAAACTCACATACCAGGCTTGAGACTTCATATTTAACTCTGTTCTTTTCCCTCTCCCATATCAATCAGTAACCATATCCCAGTGGATTTTTTGTGTAAATGCCTCTTTCTCCCATGTATATGTATACGTATATATGTGTATATATATGAATATATATAATGTATATATAATACCTTCTGCCTCTGTTTCTTCTTTATTTCTGTTGCAATAATTTGGGCTTAATTTCTCATCAGTCATCAGTCAACTCAGACCGATGATTAATAATCGCTAATATTAGCTACTGTTGAGGGGTACTTCCTATGTGTCAGTCCCTATGTTAAATTATTTACATGTATCTCATTTGAGCTGTAAAATAACAGTGTCAGGTAGAAAACGGAGGTGGCTTAGAGTGGTGAAAAAACTTACCCAATGTCATACAGCTAGTGACAGGTGGATCTAGGATTTGACTCTAAGACTACCTGACTTCAAGGCTAATAATAATGGTAGCTTTAACAGCAGCTAACATTTATGAAACATTTCTTCTGCATGTGGCACTTTGCTGAATGTTTCATTAATCATTACATTAAATCTTCAAAACAGTACTGTGAAGCAGGCACCTTATTGCAGTTTTCAATTGTGGAATCTAAGGCTCAGAGAAGTTAAGAATCTTGTGCAAGAAATGTATAACTATAAATACATTTAAAAAGAAGAAAGATCTCAAATCAACAACTTGACTTCACAACGTAAGGATATATGAGAAAAACAAATGAAACCCAAAGATAGGTAATGAAGGAAATAATAAAGTTTCGAGTGGACTAAAAAAACAATAGAGAAGAGCAATGAAACCAAAAGGTGGTTCTTCAAAAAAGTTCAACAAAATTCACAACCTTTAATTAGATCAACTAAGAAAAAAAAATGAGAAGATAGAAATTATTCAAATCAGAAATGAAAGTGATTACTACCAATTTTACAGAAATAGTAAGTGTTATGAGTATTATGAATAATTATGTGCCAACAAGTTAGAGAACCTGGATAAAATAAATTCCTAGAAACATAAAACCTTCTAAATGGAACCATGAAGAAACAGAAAATCTGAATAGACTAATAACTACTAGGGAGACTGAACCAATAAAAGAATTTGACAAAGTTCAACATTCTATCATAATAAATACACTCAGATTGTAAAAGAAGGAAACAACCTCAACATAATAGAGGCAATATCTGAAAAGCCCAACACTAACATCATACTCCAGGGAGAAAAACTGAAAGCTTTCCCTCTAAGATAAAAAACAAGACAAGAATACCTGCTTTTGCCACTTCTATTCTATGTAGTATTGGAAGTTCTAGTAAGAGAAAGTAGGCAAGAAGAAAGAAATGGCATCCAAATCAGAAAGAAGTAAAATTAACTCTGTTTGTAGATGACAGGAACTTATGTGTGGAAAACCCTAAAGATTAAAACAAAATTTTAGAACTAATTAACAGATTCAGTATAACTGCAGGTACTAAATCAACAAGCAAAAATCAGTTGAAATCAGCTGTATTTCTTTTTTCTTTTTTTCCTCTGTCTTTTTTTTTTTTTTTTTTTTTTTTTGAGACAGTGTCTCATTTTATCGCCCAAGCTGAAGTGCAGTGGCACGATCTCGGCTCACTGCAACCTCTGCCTCCGCAGTTCAAACGATTCTCCTGCCTCAGCCTCCCAAGTAGTTAAAATTACAGGCATGTGCCACCACATCTGGCTAATTTTGTTTGTTTGTTTTGTTTTGTATTTTTAATAGAGACGGGGTTTCACCATGTTGGTCAGGCTGGTCTCGAACTTCTGACCCTAAATGATCTGACGACCTCAGCCTCCCAAAGTGCTGGGATTACAGGTGTAAGCCATCGCGTCCAGCCAAAAAACAGTTGTATTCCTATGTACTTACAATGAACAATCTGAAAAGAAATTAAGAAAAGAATTGATTCACATTACCATCAATAAGAATAAAGTTCTTAGGAACAAACTTAACCAAGGAGGTGAAAAACTTGTAAGCTGAAAATGATAAAACGTTGCCAAAAGAAATTAAAGAATATATTAATAAATGGAAAGAAATTCCGTTTTCATAGTGGAAGATCTAGTAGCATTAAGATGACAATATTAATGCAATCCCTACCAGAATCCCAGTGGCATTTTTTGCAGAAATAGAAAAATCTATCCTAAAATTCATATGGCATATCAGTACTCTAAATAGTCAAACAATAGGAAAGAATGAAGCTGGAGGACTCACACTTCCTGATTTCAGCATTTGCTACAAAGCCACAGTAATCAACACAGTGTGGTACTGGCATAAAGGAAGACATAGAAATGAATGGAATAGAATGGAGAGCCCCGAAACAAATGCTTGCATATATGGTCAAATTATTTTTGACAAGGGTACCAAGGTCATTCAATAGGGAAAGAGTTGTCTTTTCAACAAATGATATTGGGAAAGCTGGATATCCATGAACAAGAATGAGTTGAATCTTTACCTAACACCATATACAAAACTTAACCCAAAATGAATCAAAGACCTAAATGTAAGAGCTAAACCTGTAAAACTCTTAGAAGAAAACATAGGGGAAAACTTCATGACACTGGATTTCACAATGATTTCTTGGCTATGACACCTAAAGCACAGGCAACAAAAAAAAAAAAAGATAAATTTGACTTCATAAAAAGTAAGATCTTTTCTATATCAAAGGACATTATCGAGAAAGTGAAAAGGCAACCCATGAAATGGGAGAAAATATTTGCAAATCACATACCTGATAAGGGATTAATTCTCACAATATATAAAGAACTAATATAACTCAACAACAAAATTCCAAAAACCCAATTTAAAAATGGGAAAAGGACTAAAACAGAGATTTCTCCAAGTAAGATATACAAATGGCCAATAAGCCCACACAAAGATCCTCAACATCACTAATACTTAGAGATATGCAAATCAAAACCACAATGACACACCACCACACACACATTAGGATTTAATAAAAAAAGAAAGAAAAGAAAACACAAAACATGTGTTTTGAGGAGGTAGGAAAATTGGAACTCTTGTGCATTGCTGATGGGAGTGTGAAATGGTGCAGGCACAGTGGAAAATGGCAAAGCTGTTTCTCAAAAAAATTAAGCAAAGCATTACCATTTGATGCAGCAATTCCACTGCTGGTCATATGCCCAAAATAACTGAAAGTAGGGATTTGAAAAGATATTCATACACCCACGTTGATAGCAGCATTACTCACAATAGCCAAAATGTGGAAACAGCCCAAAAGTACACTGAACGATAAGTCAAGAGGCAAAATGAAATATATTCACACAATGGAAACTCATTCAATCTTAACAAGTAATAAAATAAAATAAAATGCCAAGCATTTACACAGTCATGAGACTCAAATTCTGATACGTACTACAACGTGAATGAACCTTGAAGACACTATGCTAAGTGAAATGTGGCCAGACACAAAAGGACAAATTTTGTATAAGTCTATTGATGTGAGGTACTTATTAATAAAATAGTCCATGACAGGAAGACAGAAAGTAGAATAATGGCTACCAGGGACTAGGGTTAGAAGGAGTGGAGAGTTATTGTTTATTGAGTGCAGAGGTTTAGTATGGTAAGTTGAAAAAGTTCTGGAAACGGATAGCGGTGATGGTTGCCCAGCAGTATAAACATAATTGGTATCACTAAACCATACTTTTTTTGGAGACAGGGTCTCGCTCTGTTACTGAGGCTGGAATTCAGTGGCACAATCAAGGCTCACTGCAGCCTCAACATTCTGGGCTGAAGTGGTCCTCCCGCCGCAGCCCACCAAGTAGTTGGAACCACAGGTCATGTGCCACCATGTTTTGCTAATTTTTTGTGAAGACAGGGTTTCACTATGTTGTGCAGGCTGGTATTGAACTCCTCAGCACAAGCGAGCCACCCACCTCAACCTCTCAAAGTGCTGGAATTACATGCGTGAGCCCCTGCGCCCAGCCCTAAACCGTACATGTAAAATGGCTAATATGGTAAATTTCAGGTTATGAGGGTTTAACCTTTATGAATATATAGTGGCTGGTACTCTTGTCCTCGCTATAAATACACATCTTGTGGCCCTGCCCCTTCCGTCCCATGCAGAGCCCCAGTGGCTAAATCTCCCTATTTCTCCAAATGTTCATCACTAGCTGTGCTCTATGCTGTGTCCACAGCCTCATAAAGCCAGTGACTTCAGAGCCAGGCCATAGCTCAAGAGTCTGCCCCGGGGCTCCCTCTCTTCCCAGTTCCCTGAAGCCTAACCCAGGAGAGGCTCTGCCTTTTATTGGCAGCTCAATTTAGCCAGATTCAGGACAGGTCACCCAAGCACCTTCTCCACACACCCAGGTCCCACCCCAGGTGGAGTCAGGGCAGGACCAGTCACCAGGTGAGCCAAGAGCAGAGCAGGGGGCAGAGTCTGAGCTGCTCCTCCCTCATCCAAGGGGGCTTCCTCCTCTCATCTGGGGAAAAAGTGTGAGCCTGTTTCAAAGCCTCCTTGTTCCTTGTAGATCATGAATTAGGCAAAAGAACACAAATTGGTGACAAAAAGGGACGTATTGGTGGCCGAGAGAACCCTTAAGGACCCTTCCTGCTTTCCCCTCTGTGAAGCTCCTTCCACTACATGGGGCTTTGGGGTTGAGGGAGCCCCCTCCCCACATTCCAGGCTGGATCCGTAATCAGCCATGAGAAATTACTGAAGCACAGGGAGGAGGGTCTGCAGAGACACAGTGAGAGGGTTCAGAGGGGAGAATTTGGGATCTGCTTGTGCCCTTGGGACACAGGCTGGAAAAGAAAATTTTCTTCAGCTCTTCCTTAACACCAGAGAGACCCCACCTCAAAATACGATGCCAATGGTCCAGGGATCGATGTACCACAGACTGTGATCATCTTGGCTGTGGTCCTATTGTGGCCAGTGGCCAATCTGTGGGCATGGCAGGTTTAGGATACACTATTCTTTGCAGTGCTTTGGGGATAAAGAGCTGTTGCATGTGTTGCAGAAGCTTTCCATCACTCAGCCAAAAATACTGTGTGGGTGGGATGAAGAGCCTGAGGTTTGCTCCTAACTGGTAAGATATGTCTGGGGTAGAAATGGCAGGGGTGTCCAAGCCTCCTGGAGCAAAGAGAATAAAGCCATAAGTGATATCCTCAGAGGGAAGCGGAAGCTCCTGGTCTGTGGAAGGGCCGTGGTATTCCCCTTACCCAAATCACAGTACTGAAGTCCCAACCAAACCCCGACTGTATTCACTGAGGCAGAGCCTGAGACATTCACTTGTTTCTCCCATCACAGGCTGTGGACCCTGAGCCTCCCAGGGCAGGAGCAGCCCCTCCTCTCATACTCTTCGTCAAGGCTGGGTCTGCCCAGGCTTGCTTGGGGCTGGAAGTCATGGCCAGCCTGGGTGACTAGAAGTGAGGGTCTGTGTACTTGGACCCGAGAGGGACTGAGAGGCCTGGCCTCTGGCTGCATGGATTTGGGCTGGCAGCCTGGGCCACAGAGGAACAGAAGATACTCACGGCGGACATTCAGGGTGACTGGGTCACTGCGCCTGGCACCCACTGAGTTCTGTATTTCACATTCATAGGGTCCTTTGTCATTCGTTGTGACGCTCAGTAGAACGAGGGTCCTGTTGTCAACGGAGAGCAGCCGCCTGGGACTGACCTGGAGGCTCTGATTGTTTACCCACCACAGGTAGGTTGTGTCCTGAGTTTCAGGTTGACAGGTTAAAGCCACAATATCCTTGTTCTCCACCGGATTGAAGGTGTTGCTGGAGATGGAGGGCTTTGGTGGCTCCGCTGTGCAGATAACAGAGAGAAGATTGCCTTGTGTGGCACCCTTGGTTTCCCTACAGGTATCTTTCAATCAGAGTTCGCATCTCCCACCTCTAAGCCCACTCAAGTCCTTAAAAGCCCATGGCAGGTGTATGTATCACAAGACAGGTGCACAATGATCTGAGAGCTCAGAGACTGTGAGGCTGCCTGATTTGTCTTAGAGAAGCACAGACTTTCTCAAGTGTAAATTGTGCAGCAGCTTTGGGTCATGGACATACCCAGGACCATGAGTCACAGCCCCTGGTGCCTCTCCTGGTCCTTTCCTGATGACTGCCTACCTGGCCTTTTGGGGTCCTCACCTGGAATGTGCAGGAGCTGAGTTCCTTCCAGCTGAACACTCCTATACCACCCAGCCATGGCATGTTTCTCTGAGCCTTTTTTTTTCAAGGGTATCCCAGAGATGGGTGATGATAACAATGGGTGTTTGAGGAGACATAGCAGAGGAAACCAGGAAAAAGTCTAGAGGTGAGTTTAGTACTCAGACTGCAGGGCCTCCAGGTGGGGCAGGTGTTTGATGGCGCCCGGGTGTTTGATGGTGACTGACAAGAGCTAGTGACTTCCAGGAAAGCACAGCAGAGTCCAAAAGAAGATAAAGGGTGAGTGAGGCAAGCAGGGGCTGGCTGAAAATCTGAGGATTCTCAATGACATAACAAGAAAAATGAAGGCAAATTAGGAGAGGAGATGTATGTTATATTAGGAAATTTACAAAGAGCTCCCTGTCCCCAGCTCTCCTGTGCAGAGTCAGCAAAACGGAGGAAAGCCCAACACAGGCATGAGAAATTCTTTCTTCCTTTTCTCTCAACCTAAGGAAACACAACTAGAGTTTGATCAAATTCATCCAAACTAGACAGAGTCTAAGTGAGACGGGGCTGGTGCAGTTCCCATTCCGAGGGACCCCACCTTATGATGATAGTGTCATCATGAGGACACGGGTGTATGTGGAATGGGGAGCAAACCCATCAGACAGCACGTACCTGGCCCGCTGCACCTGGAGGAGGTCCCGGGAATGACTGGAGGACCTGAGCCCCGCAGCAAGACGAGGATGGAGTTGGTAGTAAAATGGGTGGAATGAACCCATGGGCTTTGGGGACTGCACACCTGTCCTACCTCTGGCCCCCTGGTGAGTCAGTGTAGAGAGCGGAGAGAGGAGTTGCTCATCCCCATCCCATGACCAAGCATTTACACAGTCATAAGAATCAACACCTGGGTGGCTTCTTTGTTTTTTAAGAGCCAGGGATCTTGCTATGTTGCCCAGGCTGGTCTTGAACTCCTGGGCTCAAGACACCCTCCTGTCTCAGTCTCCCACTGGGATGGCTTTAGGGGCAGGGGATAAAAGGGGTGGAACATGGGTCTCAGCCCCTTGGAGGGACAGGGAACAGGTGCCAGAGCCTCCTAGGATCCTGCATCAGGTTCCAGTCTCTGAAGAGATTATGGATCATGCATTCCTCCATTCATTCCCTCCCTCCTTCATGAGAGAACTACTGTGTCTCACGTTGGGCCCTGGCTCGGGCAGGGTGTGAGTGGGGAGAGAAAGCAAAGTCCTTTCCTTTATCCTCCTGTGGGAGTGACACCAACACATCAGGAAGCACAGGATTTCAGGTCCAGGGCGGGTAGGAGTGTGAATCTAAGGGAGAGGCCTGGACATTCCCAGCACTGACTCTGATAGTTGAGGCAGGAGATTCAGTTCTAAGTAAAAACTAATCCTCCATTTTTTCCTCACTTCCCAGACCAGAATCTCCCACTTCTGGCATGGATGCCTAGGAAGGAAGCTCTGTAGCTACAGACACAGACCTGGGGATTCTGATGTGTCTGTCCGGTCTGTGAGAGCCTGCCTCAGTGGCTGTATTTCCTTCTGCCTCAGTTTCCTTTAACAAAATGAGATAAAGCGTAAATGGTCTCTGGCTTGCCTTGTTGTCTGTGAATTCACCTTGAAATAATCACGATTACCTGGACGAGAGCCCTGCGTAGAAGAGCTGCCCAAATAAGCAGCATCTCTGATTGTTTGCCCCCAGGAGTGGGTTATTTGGACCTGATTCCTGGTGTACAAGGAACTTTAAGCAGAATCTTTCTTCTTCCCTTTCTCCCCCTGAGGACACTGACTCCCCTAGGACCTCTCTTAAGTTCCTCATCCAGGGGGCTGAGGTCCTAGTAATCCTGTTCATCTGTCCTTTCCAGGCTGAGTCTCAGGTGAAGGATGAGGCTCTGTCCTTGCCCAGATGAGGCCCTGGGGGTGACCAGGCTGGTGGCCAGCTCCATGAGCCATGATCTTCAAACAGCTCAAATCCTTGCTCTCACTCAGTTCAACCCAGGAGGCCACAACCCAGCCCTGGCACAGGTTCCTTAGGGTCACCTGGAGTCAAGAGCCCTGGGACAGGGATCTGGGACTTGTGCTTCCAGGGCTGAGCGTCTCTGTGAGGATTCCAGGGGACCCCTCAGGCCAGGCTCTGACCCGGTTCTCCAGGGTCTTTTTCAGGGGGAGGGCACAGAATCTTGGTTGGGACTGATCCCCTCCTGCTGAGTCCCCCGCCCCCCATCAGACTGTCCTTCCTCTGCAGCAAGTATCTGCAGGGTCTGGATGCAGGAAAGGGATTCTGATCTGTTGAAGTTTGTCTCCCCCGTATGTGTCCTTCACTAAATGCCCAAACCCCGACACAGGATAAAGTGTAGATGGGGACACGGGCACAACCCAGGCCTGACAATCCCGTGTGTATGAAGTAGAACTGACCCCCAACACCCAGAAGTCGTGGAGGAATCACTCACAGAATACGTAGAATTGCCTGGTTACTTCTTCAGTCACAAGATCTTCGCTTATAACGTGTAGGGTATAGATTCCTGGGTCACTGAGGCCGACGTTCTGGATCAGCAGGGATCCATTGGAGTATATTGTCTCTCGACCACTGTGTGCGGGCCCTGGGGCATTTTCTCCTTGGTTTATTACATATCCTATAATTCGATAGTTGGCGTGCACCCTTTCCCCTTTGTACCAGTTGTAGCCATAAAGATTGCGGGACACATTACTGACTAGCAGAATGACCTCCTTCCCCTCTGCAACATTGAACGGCACAACTTCAATGTTAGTCTGGGCACTGGTGGGCAGGTTCCAGAAGGTTAGAAGTGAGGCTAGGAGGGGAAGAGAGCATCAGTCAATATTGGGTGGAAAGATGGGGCCCTGGATCCTGAGCAGGCAGGTTTCCTCACCCACCCCCATCTTGAAGAGTGTGTGTGTGCGCGTGTGTGTGTGTGTGTGTGTCCTACTGGGTCAATGTAAGCACCATGACCCCATTCCTTCAGCATCTCTGACCTTCACATTTCCCTGTTTGGAATCCTCTTCCCCAGGGATCTGCATGGCTCTCTCCACACTGCAGGACCTGCTCACATCAGGGCATCCTTGGGAGACCCCTCCCCTGACACCTTCTCTAGAGGCCCTGGGTGTTCCCTGTCTGACCTTTCCCTGCTCTATTCCCTTTAGGGATCTTGTCAACACCTGACTTCACATCCTAGATCTCTTTGCCTGTCTGTCTTCCTCCCCATGAGAGTGTGAGCTCTGTGAGGGCAGGGACTTGTGTGATCTGGATTGCACCCCAGTGCCTGGGACAGGCTGCAGGCTCCAGTGGATGAGCTCATGAGAGTTCCCAAGGCCCTCCACATCCTGGGGCTTATTTTCCAATGTCTGAGGTTGGTGGCAAGGGACAATGTTTTATGCCCTGGTTATGTTTTTATTTGAAGTGTCATTTGATATAGTTATTATTACCCTGTTTCAAAATGTAGCAACTAGTGACAATTAACCAGGAAAAGAGAACACGTGAGATTTTCTTGACCCTTTCCAATTCCAGTTCAATGTGATTTTCCTGTTCTGGTTTCCTGTCCCTCTCTGGTGTCCTCTCCCATATTCATGCTTCAACAGAAGCGGTTTGTCCCTCTCAGAGCCCCGTTCCCCCAAGGAGACCCCAGCCAGTCTCTCTGGCCCTCCTCCTACCCACTCCCAGGAAGTCTTCCCCTCACCTGTGAGCAGGAGCCCCTGCCAGGGGATGCATGCTCTGTGTGGACAGGCTGAAGGGGGCCCCATGGTCTCTGCTGCCTGCTTGTCCTCTGTGGAGAAGAGCTTGGGCTCCAGGAACGCTCTTGTCAGGGCTGCTGTGATTGTCAGCTCTGCTGTCCTTCCTACCTCTGTGCTGAGCCTCCTCCCAGGGCAGGAGCACTTTCCAAGATCACATGGTCCAGGGGTGGGGTCTCTGCTCAGGAGTCCTTTGTCCCCTCCCCTCTCATTCCTGCCTCTTTTGTCCTTCTTCCTCTTTCCCTTTTGTCTATATTCAGTTCCCCAGACAAAGCTATGAGAAGCAAGGCTGATGGACCCCTGTCCCCTGGGAGGACAACCAATCTTTCCCAGCGCTGACCTCTGCTGTGTTCTGGCCTTGGGTCTGTCACACCAGGGGGATTATTTCCCTTGTGACAGAGAAACCCAGCTGGGCCTTGGGTTTCTGCTGGGATGATGCCCAGCAGGAAGCTGACAGAGGTGGCTCTGGGGGATAGAAAGGGGTTCACTGGGGGATGACTGGGGAGAGACCAGCCCTCTGTCTCCAGTATCACCAGCCTGGCCTCTGGCCCAGGCACAGAAACCAAGGCCCAGAGGTCTCAGGAGGAGCTACAGTTCCTGGGTGTGGAGGGAGGCATCTGGTGTGTCCTGGGAAGAGAGGGCTGTGGTGGAGGGAGGTGTGTGTCTCTGAGGTCTGCTGTCCTTGGGAAAGGCTTCAGGGAAACCGTCCCTCTCCCTGTCATTTGGATGAGCTGTGGCTCAGGTCCTTTCCATGTTCTACCTGACCTGGAAGCCTCTGTCTGGCTGACAGTCCTGTGGTCACTCCGCCTTCCCCATGGGTGGTGCCAAGAGGGAATGGGGAGCTGCACAGAAACCCTTGGCAAAGTGGGGTCCTCAGAGGCCCCAGGAAGGAAGAGGTGGGACACAGCAGGAACATGAGAGACAAGAAGGGTCTGTTGGAGCAAGGCATGGCGCTCAGTGAACGTCGTGGGACTGAGGAGCTAACGATAATGAGAGTAGAGCTGTGAATGTGCTCTGAGGATCACAGGGACCTGCCCTGGGAGATGTCCTTTCGGCTGAGCCCTGGGGAGGAGAGGATGTAGGGGCAGGAGCTGCCTGCAGAAAGAGTGACTTTAGTTGGGTTGCTGCGGGGCTGTAGGGAGGAGCTGACAGAGTCCGTCTGGGGAGCTTGGAGGGCGTGGAGGAGGTGAGTCGAGGTGATCCTGGTGAGGGTGAACCCTGGGGGAGCTGTGGGTCCAGCTGAGGGAGGCCAGCAGACCCTGGGGAGGCTCCAGGCCGGGAGGGACTCTGCCGCCCTCTGGTGGACAATGAAGAAAGTGTAGACGGAAAAAGGATGGGTTTAACTCAGCATGATCTTTAAGCGTTGATCACATGTTTGCTGCATGCTTTACATTCTAGGTGTCTCTCACGCAAGCTCTTCTCTAGTCTATCCCCAACGAATCATCAAAATCAGATTTGTAGTCTTATGTCAGGCCAAGTTCTGTGTGCACTTAGGGGAATCTTGCACAGTATTCACACCTGAGGGCTGGCTGGAGCATGTGTAGGTAGAAGGGAGGATTCGTGTCCGTGTATCCTCACAAGAGGCAGGGTGTCCGAGTGGATGAGGCTCCACTTGACCTCAAAAGTCCTCAGAATAAGGGAGCAGAGGCTGATGAAATCAGAATCCAGGGATGGGGCTGGGGCTCTGTGCCTCCTCCTCCTCCCTCTCTCTGGGGAGTTCCCCCTCCTCTTCCTCAGCAGAATTCCTGGGCCTCCTTAAGGACCCACCCAGAGATTTTTTAGCAGAGACATCAGGTTTCAGGGCCACCTGTCACCCCTCAAGTCTCCCCACACCCATCCTCAGAGACAGATATAAATATAGCTACTCCTGCTCACTTTTGGTTTCCACTTGCATGGAATATTTTTTCTACCCCTTTACCTTCAGTGTGTTAGTATCTTTATGAATAAGTAGAGTCTCTTGCAAGCAGCATATGCTTCCCAAAATAGGACGCTGATTCTCCCCCATCATAGATTTCTCCCTCGTTCCCCGAGCCTTTCCTGCCCCCTATGATCTGGGCACTCCTGACACACACCTCTTCTCTGATGACACATCAGGGTCCCTCACTGTTAAGCGGTCCAGAAAGGACAGAACCTTGGACAGCACCCATCTCAGCTTCACCCTTCCTCCCGCACAGGGTTCAGGGCAAAGAATAAATGGCAGAGGCCAGTGAACCCAGAGATGGTGACAGGCAGTGACCCAGGGGCAGATGCCTGGAGCAGGAGCAGGCGGGGCCACAGGGAGGAGGTGATGCAGGAAGGGAAACCCAGAAATGGGCAGGAAAGGAGGACACAGGCTCTGTGGGGCTGCAGCCCAGGGTGGGGCTGTGAGTGTGAAGCCATCTCAGCAAGTAAGATGAGGTCCCATGAACGAGAGTGGGAGCATGTGGCTTCCTGCTCTGTATATGGGGTGGGGGATTCCATGCCCCATAGAACCAGCTGGCCGGGGTTCAGCTAGAGAAGGAGCAGGACAGGGGATCCCAGGATAGGAGGACCCCAGTGTCCCACCCAGGCAGGTGACTGATGAATGGGCGTGCAGGGCCCTCCTGGGCTGGCCTCTCCCTTTGTCCATCGGGATACCCTCAAGGAACATCCGGAATCCGACCACATCTACCCGGTGGGTTCTGGGGAGTCCATGTAAAGCCAGGAGCTTGTGTTGCTGGGAGGGGTCATGGCATGTGCTGGGGGCACCCAAGAGAGAAGCCTAAGGGCAGGCAGGACCTGGTCTGAAGAGGCACAGGAGCCCAGATGGGGAGATGGATGTCAGGAGAGGCTGCTCCATCAGAGAGGGTGATAGGAATAGGGGGTCTGTGGGAGTGGGCACATGGGATTCCCTGGGCTCTGCGGTGTTCCCTCCCATAGTCACAACCTAGGGACACTGCCCAAGAAGGGGTGCCTCTACCCAGCCAGATGCTGCTGGTTCTGCCCACCTCCTACCCTCTCTGCTCCAGCCACTCTGGGTCTTTCTCCAGATGCCCTGGACAGCCCTGGCCTGGACCTGTTCCCTGAGAGGTGTTGGGAGAAACTGAGTCTCTGGGGACACTCTCATCAGAGTCTGAGAGGCACATCAGGAAACATCCCCGGTCTCCAGGACTGGGCAATGACAGAACCCCAGCTCCTCCCTTTGCCACTGAGAGGGTCGACACTGGGTGGCCACAGCGACTTCTGCGCCCGTCCCAGTCACCCTGAAACCACAACAAAATCCCAGCCTTAGACCCTGCAGGTACAGTACATGTGGGGACAGTCTGTACCCAGGGGAGGCCAGCTCTTTCTTCCTGGGACACCAGGCCTCAAGGCTGTGCCTGGGGCAGGCAGGGGCAGCACATGCTTGTCCTTGAGAACTCAGGACCTTGGGGGTCTCTGCTTTGTGAGGCACAGCAAGGATCCTTCTGTCCAGAGATGAAAGCAGCTCCTGCCCCTCCTTCTTCCCAAATCTCAACCAACAAATAGATGTCTCAAATCTCATCATCAAATCTTCATCCATCCATATGAGAAAGCTTAAAACTCAATGAATTGATAACACCAAGAGTTGGAACAACTGGACGTGGAGATGTTGCTTGTGGAAATTTAGATGTGTTCAGCTATCGGGCAGGAGAATCTGTGTCAAATTCTAGCATGGTTCAGAAGAATCAAAAAGTATAACAGTCCAAATGTGCAACAGTGCAGGGGATAAAACTGTGGTGCATTCAAACTGAGGGATATTTTAGAACATGAGAAAGGGGCTGGGCGCAGTGGCTCAAGCCTGTAATCCCAGCACTTTGGGAGGCTGAGACGGGCGGATCACGAGGTCAGGAGATCGAGACCATCCTGGCGAACACGGTGAAACTCCGTCTCTACTAAAAAATACAAAAAACTAGCTGGGCGAGGTGGCGGGTGCCTGTAGTCCCAGTTACTTGGGAGGCTGAGGCAGGAGAATGGCGTGAACCTGGGAGGCAGAGCTTGCAGTGAGCTGAGATCCGGCCACTGCACTCCAGCCCGGGCGACAGAGCGAGACTCCGTCTCAAAAAAAAAAAAAAAAAAAGAAAGAAAGAAAGAAAGGAGTCAATCGCAGATAGAAAATGATCACTAATTCCACCTCTATAAAGTTTCCAAAAGGAAAATCCAACTCTGCTGCTAGAGATCAGAGTGGAGGTGACCTGTGCTCTGCAATGGCTGTGAGGGTCATGGGAGTGTCACTTAGTGCAGGCAATGTGCCATATCTTAATCTGGGCAGGGCTTTCATGATCACACAGGAATGCAGACATTACTGCTATGTTCATTTTACTTCACCGGAAAAGAAGTATAAAATCAGCTGGGCGTGGTGGCTCATGCCTGTAATCCCAGCACTTTAGGAGGCTGAGGTGGGCAGATTACTTGAGGTCAGGAGTTCAAGACCAGCCTGGCCAACATGGTGAAACCCCCCCTCTACTAAAAATACAAAAATTTGCTGGGCATGGTGGTGTGTGACTCTAATCCCAGCTACTAGGGTGGCTGAGGCTGGAGAATCACTTGGACCCAGGAGGCGGAGGTTGCATAAGCAGATTGCACCACTGCACCCCAGCTTGGGCGACAGAGCCAGACTAGGAAAAAAAAGAAAAAAAAAAGGATAAAATCTCTTTGGGTTAAACAAAAAAAGATCCACAAAACAAACACCAGCTCTTATCAAACTTACACAACTCTCCCGGAGGACAGGAAACACAAATACTCATTAACTCACTTTTGTGGCAGTAAAACCTTCATGTCAAAAGCAGACCAGGACACAATGAGGAAGTAAAATTGCAGGCCCTACCTGGGAACAGAGGGAAAATCCACAAACAAAACATGACCAAAAGGAGCCAGGATTTACTGCGTTGAGTTTATTCCCCAGGTATGCAAGATGATTTTAACACCGGAAAATCAGTCACTGCCTTTACTATATAGACAGATTAGCTAGAAAAAAATTACAACTAGCAGAACAAGCCAGGATTTACTGCGTTGAGTTTATTCCCCAGGTATGCAAGATGATTTTAACACCAGAAAATCAGTCATTGCCTTTACTACATAGACAGATTAGCTAGAAAAAAATTACAACTAGCAGAACAGAAGCAATTTGGCCTTGCCTGAAATTCCACATCAT